ACGGTACTTTGAATAACGTAATATTTTCTAAAATGGAATATACTATGTCTTACAAGATTTGTTTATCTTGTCGAATTACGAAACAAAATATTGCATTTCAAATCCATAATAGATTTTGTAATTCCATAGCGGTGTATCGCTACTCCCTGAAACTTAATAGTCACGTCGCGATGTCAGAGACCGGGGGAGCGATATATCGCTATAGCGGTAAATTACAAAGCCCTTAATAATAAATAATGTTTTGAGTATACAAGCCGTGTAAATGAAAGCAAAAAAATGAAAATGGCACGCGTGAATTCTGTGCCATCGACTAATCTATAATATTTAAAATATTGTATTGCATTTTTGAAATCAAATTACTAAGGATGATAACTCAAGATAATATAGACGTTAAAGGCAAATTGTTGAGTTATATTTATAGCATTTTGAATACATATGTACAGTACGTAAATTTGAATAATTTGACCTAAATTTCATTTCGTATTATTTATTTTTTTAAAAAAATTCTATTGATTACAAAACGACCTAAATTTAAGAATGACACGTTAATTAATAAAGGGAAATATAAAGATAAAAGGTTTCAAAAAATAAAGTGAAAAAGCCATAGGACACATAGAGCAAAAAGGTTTCATTAATACCTCTGTCCCCAGCCTTTGTTAATTCTTTTTTTAAACAATCTTTGTTACAGCAAAGTTCATCACACTGAAATTCATAATAATGAATAGAGTTAATCTGATTGGAAATGTTTTCTGTGGAAATTTCTTCTGTAAATTTGTGTTTGAAGGCCAATTGATATCATTATTATCTTTTTCATTAGCGAAATAATCCAGCAGTTTGCTCCACAATATTTGTACACCATTTCCGATTTACAAGAAGGCATGAAAATAAGCATCCATGATATTTCTTAAGGTCACTGAAGTAATCAAGTATTTCATAAAGGCATTCATTCGGAAGTTGCTCAATCACTTTGAAAGAATAATGTTTATGAATTATGGTGCAATAAAACTACGATTTTCTTTTTAAATGTACGTACGTACGTACGATCCATAGTTGTGCTGTGGTATGAATTATTTGGAATACAATATTATTTTTCGGAATTTAATGATATAATTAATATAAATGAACAAAACATTTTGTCGTTTTGATGAATGCACCGTTAATGGAATTGAAATCATATGATGCTTATATTTATGAAATAAAAATTAAGATAAAAGGACTAAATATTAGAAACTTAAGGTTAAAATTGTATGAAATTTTTTGCATAAATGATTAAAAACATCCATTGTGGCTTATAAAATACTGTAGATATTAATAAAATTATGTTTCCAGTCCTTTATCATTTCTCAAATTTTAGAATGAATTTAACACTATTAATTAACTCTAGCACTAATACCTTAAATTTATTAGCCATTATAATGGTTTGTTACATTATGCTCATTATAGTTTTAATGGACCAGGTTAAGGTCGATTATGTAAGTTATAGTTATTGTATAGGTTGTAAAAACATAACTAAATTTGCACGAGTTAACGTTACATGGCCTTTGGCCATGTAACTCGTGCAAATCTAGTTATTTTATAACACGTATAATAATTATTTTATTGCCAATAAGTAAATGAAAAAAGCACGATTTGTTACATAAGATCTGTGCAAAAGTTTTAAGTTCTTTTACCAACCTTTAAGATGACTTATTAACATGCATAGACCGTGCCATAGTTAACTTGTATTTCTAGCTACAAATAAGGTTACCTACATAATGATTGTTATCCATTTTTCACATATTTAAATCGCCTTGTCAACCTCACCTCCAAATGATAACGCTTACTGTCTTAACCTTCTAATGATTACAATTCAAGCCCTTCGAACGTATTCGGCTTCTGTCAGACTGATCAAGTATAATCCAAAATTGAACTCGATTGATATGCAAAATCTTTTGTAATAAATATTTCTCAAATTTTTATTTCTTTAATGTTAACTTTCAATTTTCAAAGCTATTTTTGAACACTGTAAATTAATGGATTCAAAAAAAAATAGTCCTAAAAATGAGTCATTACCATAATATCTTCACTTGAATTTGAAAGGCGTGGTCGATATTAAAGTTTAATAATCAATAAAAATGCTGGGTATAAGATTGATAAAGTTGACTTTTTAGCAAATTATGTATTAATATTAGGTTCTGAACTTTCGATTCTCAGATGCCCCTAGTGTGGGCATGAAATTTATTGATCATAGTAATTTGAAAGAGTGATAACTTTAATTAAATTTATATTGATCTTAATCCAAGTTGCAGAATTTCTTTTTCAAAGTCGATACATTAGCATATATAACACTATTAAACAATTTATTACAACAATAAATTACTTTCTATGGCACCAGTAAATTTTTCTATATTACAAGCTATAAATTGCCCTCTATTAATAATCAATAAAACAATCTATTTTTTTTCAAAAAAATTTAATGATTCAACTTATTCAAGAATTCATAATAAGATCCACTAACATTAGTACTAGCAAAAATAAAGTATTTATACAATTTCCAAGTGTTTGAATCTGGTAAAGAAAAGTTAGTTAATACCTCAAGCCAATCATTTGCATCTAATCCTTTCATATTATAAGCAGATTCTGTGGTATATTCAATCTCCCAAGTGATTTTTCCTTCTTGATTGGCTTTTTGTAGATCACAATAATATTGAACCCAACTTTGTAATTTGCCAAAGGTTTCATCAGAAGTAGAATAAGAGTATTCACGAAATGCAGGGTTGATAGCTTCAAATAAAGGTTTAGATAAGACAAAATGAATATTCAAAATATTTGAAATAAATACCACTTGTGAAACTTTTTACCTGGAACAATTGAAGGAGCATTATATAATGGCATAACTATATTTTTATAGTCATCAGGTGATTGTAATGTTTTAGGGTCGCCAAGTCCAATAAGTTTATATCCTGAAGATGAATTGGATACGAGAAATGCCGTATTATCTTCATTTGTATGTCCTGTGATATGAAAGTTAAACAATATCGAATAATAAGAAATTTCAAATATAAAATACATAGTAATAGGTTTGAGTAAGATTACCAGTAAAATGTCCATAAATAATATCATGATAACGACCAAGCAAATCAACATATGAATTATAACATGATTCGTTATATTGTGGGTACCCTATATAATTAAAAAATAATAATGATAATAATTCAAATGCTAGATATTCATTCATTCAGTTTTAGAAAAACAAATTTATATATCCACTCCATTATCACCTGTAACATTAATAGGAGGGACATGTTGTATGATATAAACTTTTCTATTATCATGTTTTGCATTTTCCAATTCATTTTCAACCCATTTAAATTGTATTTCACCAGGCGAATTTGGAACTGAACAATCCGGAGATTGCACATTTTTGGGATAAAAATACATTGAATTCAAACTTAAGATCGAAAGTTTTGAATTAATATCGTGAAGAAAGTAGCCACCAACTAAAAAGTCATTTGTTAAATTTAATTTTAAAGGAGCCCAAGCGTTTTGCACGGCCGTTAATAGGTCATTAGGACCTGGTGAAAGTTGGTCATCATCTAAATAATTTAAGCAAATTTTAGTTGATAACTTAGTTGATAAATTAGTATGTAACAGTAAATAAAAAAAAAGGTTTCTTACCAAATTCGTCGTTGTTTCCCAATGTCGGAAACTTTTTAAATAAATAGATGCAAACATATTGGTTTAAATATATATTAATGATATATAAAATAGATAAAATATAATAATCAGCGAACATACAAAC